TTCAGTCCCTCTCAACTGGTTTGGATCACTTAGGTGTTAAAATTCCGAAATAAATAACCACAGGAAAGCTCTCCCTTGCCCTGGTGGACACATGGAATCCCAGCAGCACTGAGGCTGGAAAACACCTCCAGGTCCAAGCTGTGCCCAATCCCCACCTTGTGATGGAGGTGCCACCTCCAGGGGTTCCTTGGACACCTCCAGGGATGGGCGCTCCAAACCTCCCTGGGCAGCCCCTGCCAATGCCTGACCAGGCTTTCCATGAGGGAAATTCCTCCTGATTTGTCCTGGAGTAGGTGTCCTCCATGAGGAAATTCCTCCTCAATTGTTCTGGAGCAGATGTCCTCCATGAGGAAATAATTGTCCTGGAGCAGGTGTCCTCCATGAGGAAATTCCTCCTCAATTGTTCTGGAGCCGGTGTCCTCATGATAGTGGAACCCTGGAAAAAGTTAAAGATAGAATCTAAAAATGTCAGGCTTTGTGCTTTCCCAGATCAACTGCACCTGCGTAAGCAGTGTGATAAATTATAGAATTGTTAGATGTGATGATTGTTTAGTAATTAAACGTAATTATTATATAACCATAAGAAGAATAGTGAGAAATTCAGTGAGGGGCTAAATTTATGTATACAATAGAACAATATAAGTTTAATAATTAACATGAAAGTTATGTAACGATAGAGTATAAACCATGATCATTTTGGATGTATGGTCAGAGTCAGATTTGGGTTGAATATACCCCAATTCCCAGAGCTCTTTAATAAAAAGCACCACATATAGTCCCTGTAATTACGTGGTTTTGAACGCTGACACTCCATGAGAAAATTCCTCCTGAATTGTCCTGGAGCCGGTGTCCTCCATGAGGAAATTCCTCCACAATTTTCCTGGAGCAGGTGTCCTCCATGAGGAAATTCTTCCTCAATTGTTCTGGAGCAGATTTCCTCCATGAGGACATTCCTGTTGAATTGTCCTGGAGCTTGAGTCCTCCATGAGGAAATAATTATCCTGGTGTCTGCAGACACCTGCAGCAGGTGTCTTCCATGAGGAAATTCCTGCTGAATTGTTCCGGAGCAGGTGTCCTCCANGGGACTGGGAAAGGGGACAGTGTCTGAGCCAGGGGACACGGTGACACCGTTCCCTTCACAGAGGGCAGCATCCAGGACGTGACCCTCGGCAGCTCCTACAGCTACTACATGATCCAGGGGCTGGAGGCGGGCATGGAGCACACGGTGACCATCAACCCCATCTTCGGGGACATCGAGGGACCGGTGGTGAGCGGCAAAGCCACCACGGGTGAGTGTCCTGCAGCAGGGGTGGCACTCAGCCCATGCAGACATGGGGGGTGCTGGCACAGAGCTGGTGTCACTGCTGTCACTTCTCTGTGTCATTGGATTTGGGGACATCTTTGGAGCTGTTGGGACCTCGATGGAGCTGGGCAACTCTTCTCTCCTGCAGTGGCTTCCAGCACTGTCCAGATGCTGAAAGTGAGCGAGATTTCCATCAGCAGCCTCCTGGTGTCCTGGGATTCAGTCATGGGAGCCACCGGGTACCGGCTGGCCTGGGGCCCGACACCAGGTGAGATCCATCTCTGCTCTCCTGGAATGGGAGAGCCTCAGGAGGGCTGGGAGTGGGGCAGGTGCAGCTCATGAGCTGCCCCAGGCAGCCTCTCCCACAATTCCAGAGCGTGAACTGAAGCCAGGGATTATTCCTGGCCCTGAGGTGATGTTGTTACAGAACACGACACAGCAGAAATCACCACGACCCCATCAGAAGGGTGCAAGAGTGTGGCCGTGTTCACAGGGGATTTCAGATTGGGGAAGAGATGAGGATCTGACTCCAGGTTTCAGAAGGCTGGTTTATTATTTTATGATATATATTACATTAAAACTATGCTAAAAGATTAGAAGAAAGGATTTCATCAGAAGGCTGATTTATTATTTTATGATATATATTACATTAAAACTATACTAAAAGAATAGAAGAAAAGGTTTCATCAGAAG